GAGGTCTTTTATTGTTCCATACGAATCTCATCAAATTCCGGAGCAGCCTGTCATGTGGCCTCAGATATCATTTTGAAACCTTAGACCTTGGAAGAAAAAAAGGGAAATTACTTTGCTGTGAGGCTGCAGACACTGTGTTGGGCATAACCATTTGCTTTCAAACACCATCATGCAAGTACTTACAGAGCAAAAAAATAAAAATTGCTTATTATTACACAGAACAGTTTCCACAAAATCAAACCTCTGAATTAGTGGCCCTAAGAAATAAATTGCATGTATACACAAAGTCTCCACAATGTTAAAATCAGTTTTTCTAATCATGAAGCAACAAGATCCACAAACATAAGAGAAACGAAAACACCGATAAGCTTAGGGTAGTCGTGCCACAGAGAAGCCAGATTTCCCCAGGGAACTGACTAACCATGAATGACTTTTTCCAATCGGGGGACAAATCTGTTAGTATGTCACCAGGAGGCACCCACCCCCAAACTGTTCAGTGTGTACGCTGTGCAGGTGCCTAGCCATCTACCATACAGAGGCAAAATAGACTCTTAGTGAATCATTTTTAATCAAATTACTGTGCATAGCCAGAAGAAGGTATATCCCTAGTGATGGTTTCTCAGTAGAACCCCAAATAACATTTCCTCAGGAGCAAATGTTTAAACAGTCAGCCAGAAGGAGGACCACTGAGCCCGAAAACTTGCCACAAGTCTAAGATACCTTCTGGCAGGGACCATGGGGAAAGGGTTAGGCAGGCCCCAGAGTTCTGGACAGAAGAAAAAAAAAATTCAAAGTATAAATCAAGGTAACCGCTGCTATCTGCTATTATCTCTGTCAAAGATGGCTCCACGTGCCACGTACCCCTGTGTCTTTTTCGAGTCTGTGTGTCTCTCTTCCAATGTCCACTCTAAATTTCCTTCCCACCAGTACCAGGATGCAGAGCCACAGAAGCGGGAGTTTTTTGTTTTTTAAAATTCTATAAATAATGAATGTATTCTTTATGGAAGATTAGAAAATGTTACAGCTCCTGGTAAAACTTGGTTTTCAAGTTTTTGTTGTTGTTGTTGTTGTTCATCAGCCTATATTTGATTTCCTCACTTGTCACTTTGAAGACAAGTTTTTTGTAGGAGTATGTATGGCTTAAGTGAACATCCTGGCTACTTAAATCAGTAAACCTGCACGTGTATTATATACTCCACAGGGCTTAAATGAAAATGAAGGGGCTGTCTTGTGTCCACATAATGTATGTCATCTCTTCTTTTCACCTCATTTCCCCTTATGATATTTTAGTGAATGATCTTTCAGACTTCACTGCCAACTTTACTCAGCCATACATTTGTTTGTATAACTGCTAGGTTTATTCATTTGATGGTTATTATACATCTAATTTATAGTGTTTATATTCTGCAATGTTATAAGCTACCCAGAATTGTGTGGCCACTCCTGGTCTTGAAAGGGACAGTCTTTTGTGGGCTGGTGATGCTGATGAACATCCCAGAGAATTCCATTGGAGGATTAATTCTACCATGTCCCTAGAAAGCCTCTTCTGCAAACTCTTTCAACCCACAAGACTTCAGGAGTTTGAGCTTCAAAACCTTAAGTAATTTGTTCTGACCCACAGCTACCGAATGGCCCAGTCAACAGGACGTCCCAGGTGAAAGTCGTAGAAGTCAAGCCTGATATGTTTCCTCCATATAAGTACAGCTGCACCGTCACGTTGGTAAGTGCAGCCAGCGGACTGGCTGACCCAGCTTGTTTTGATTTTGTGGTTGAGGATGAGTCAGATTGGCCGGGGCTGGGGGTGGGGATTATGGCTAGATCATAGATTGTGAAGATCCCCTCACTGATAGTAGAGAGCCACTGATGAATCAGCTAAGTTTTTGTTTTTCATATGAGATCTGACAATCTGGTTTGGTTTAGCTGTCTTTGTTCCTTTTAGCCTCATGTGTGCTTCCATAGATTAGTTTGGGCAATGCCACATTTTTCCTCCTTAAAATAATCACATTCAATACTAGTGTCATATGGGGCTTGAGAAGTACTCTTGTAGAGAACTTATTTAGTCTGACATTTTTCCAACCCACATACATTTTATTTATTTATCTATTTATTTATTTAGCATAATACACATTAACACTAATAAACAAATGTGTGGCCCTGGGGCCATCTTTTTTCAGAGTATGCAGCCTGGAACAGAGGAATAAACACCAGATGTCGGAAGACCTGGTTTTGACACTGCTGTGTGTGCTTAGTGTGAGGGCTCTGTCACGTTGGGCTTAATTCTCTCCTCAGTTTTCATCATCTGGCCAGGCTGTATGATACCATATTGGGGCTTCTCTTCCTCTTATTAGTCTCTAGTTTCGTTAAGCCTTAAAGTATCAACCATCCCTTTTGACAAGCTTCTCTGGCTGAGTTGAATAAAAGGCACCCAGTTTGAGAGTGCAGCTATAGCTTAAGACATTCTTAACTGATGAAGGCAGACAAGCATAGAGCCATTCATTCAAAATACAATTTTTGAGTACCTGCTGTGTCCTGGACCCTGTGCACAGATACAGTGTGAACAGGACAGTCAGGTGACTCCTCCCAGTCTGGTCTATCCTTAGGAGAATTCCATCTCTTTATCCTGAAGAGCATATTGAGTTTTCTTTGTCCAAAGACCTACTTACCACCTTCTCCAGGCCATCTCTTTGCTCCTAGGAAGCTATCTAAAGGGTCTTATGCAGAATCCTCTTTGCTGATTAGAAAAGGTGTCCTGGGAGCCTGGATGCCTGAACTTCGAACATCAGTGGTCTAGACTCACACTGTCTTTGGGCAGGGCTGAAAGTCTTGGATGCCCCATGATCTACTCCAGCCTTAATAGGCCTGCCTCACTCTGCTGACTCTCCTGAAGTTTTGACCCTTGCATTGACTTTCTTGTTTCACAGCAGCTCTGTTAAGACTGGAAGGGGATAACTGCAGTAAAGTGTCCTGTGCAAGGCCCTTTGGAAGCTAATCTAACTCTGTTTTTGGAATTGCCCTTTTGTCTGACTTACTGATAGCAGTCATCTTGCTTCTTGGCCCTTCCCGGGTGCATCTTGACTTTTATAGAACTGAACTTTGATCTTTCTTTTTTTAGGATTTGGGCCTGGCTACATCAAGAGGCCGGGGAAAGTGCAAGAATCCCTCCTGTAGCTATGTCTACACCAACCGGCATAAACCGCGGATTTGTCCCAGCTGTGGTTTTAACCTTGCCAAAGACCGGACTGAGAAAAACACCAAGGTTCTTGTGAGTTCCTTCCCTTGGCCTTAGGTTGGGTTCTGTGGGCAGACCTGTTGTAGAGATGAAGGTATTTCTTAGCTCATCAGAGTAGTTAGAGCACCGCAAACAGAACCAGATTACAGGTTCTTAACCTAGGCAAGAACATTTTTCTGGGCTTCCTTGTCCTCCTTGGTGAGCTGACCAGTTACCTTGATCTCTGAAAATTTTCTAGCCTAAAGGGCCAAGAGTTCATTCACCAAACAGTGGCAGCACAGGCCCTAAAGTGTTCTTGGATAAAGCAGGATGGATGATTCCATCCTTTTAGCTCTGGGGCCTGGTGAAGGATCTGTGACTAATACTTGGTAAGCGGAGATGCCAGTACTGGGGGCTTTATAGCTCACTGCCGCTCAGATTCCTCACAGAGCTTTTGCCTAGTTACTAATTTACCTTCTAATGGTCTTTGCAAACCTGTGAAGTCGGATGGTAAAACACATTCTACTCAGTTCATTTCTTTTATTAGAACCAGGGTGACAAATGGGAATTTGCAGAGATCCTCTGAATTTTCCCATGGAAAGTTTTTTAAGTGCACAAATAGAGTAAGAGTAAGGACAGAAAAGTTTTTGATCTGCTTTGGAAAGTGAGAGGTGAGGGTGCCACATGGACCGTGGGGATCTGGTATGGGGCCTGGTACTGCAGTTCGATGCCTACTACCGAGCTGGACCAGGTACTGGGGCTTGCTCAGTGTGTGCCATGTAGGTGGAAGGGGAAGGTGTGCCATGTCATGGACAAGCCTGAGCAAGACTGAAGAGATGGGGAATCAGAGTGTGTCCATTCAGCTAGAGGAGGGTATGGAGGGCTGGAGAGGGGGTTGGAAAATAAGACTGAAGGCATGTCAGGCTCTTTCGAGGTAGGTGTTTAGTGTTGGATGGCACCGTAGGGACTCACTGAATGTCCTTGAGTCAGGGAGAGTGTAGGGGAAGGTGATACAGGAGGAAATTTAAACATTTTGAGTGGAAAGAACCTGGAAAGGGCATTTCTGGCAATGAACCTCACCCTGATCTCTGGGTCTGTTTCCACCTATGAGATATCATCCTCATAGAGAGGAGTGGAACTATGTGCACTGAGGGCTGGTGGGAAAACACTGAGGCCGGGGGTTGGAAGGCCTGATGGGGGTGACCTGGAGTGAGAAGCTTTCCCTCTCTGAGTTTGAGCTTCCCCATCAGAACGTAAGTGGTCAAAGTGGGCTAGATCAGGGCATCTTATTCTCAGCAAGATGAACCTAGAGAGGACTCAGAATTCAGCTTTAAGGAGTCCTGTAACCCCTGCAGTTGTGAGAAGGATCCTGCGTGACCAGCAGGTCCTGTCACTACCAGGCACCCTCTGCGCACAGGGAGCTCTGCCCCAGTTTTCCACACCTGACTGCTGCCCATCCACCACCTGGCGTCCACCGCCTCGTCTGGGCTCCCTCACTGGCTCCCTGTGACTGTCTCTACCACACGGTAACTGCCTTTAGCCCCGGCGTGTCTGTTCCTCTGTCTCTTCGACCCCTGGAGCTTACATACGTATGGTTGATGAGTGATTGAGGCATGAAATGGAGTTCTGTGTAGGTAGAGTCCCTGAACACATTTTCTCAGGGTGTGGTATGGTTTGCAGGGTAGAAATAGACATTGACCTCTAGATCTAGGGTGGGTGGGAGATAGGGTGTGACACAGCTTTTTAGGTCACATTGGAGTGGTCTAGTGACTTCTTGGCAGTCGGTTTCAAATCCCATCATTTTATTTATATTCCTGTCTTTGACTAACTGCCACCCCACTAGCCCCACCCCCAAACTCTCATCTTTAGATATTAATAACCCTTCAATTGCCTAAATTTTAGAGAAATAAGCCGTAATTACTGTTTTCCATAAAATAAAGCACTGGTCAGAAAGGCCCAGGATCTTTGTGCATGTTGTCTCTGATGCCCCCTGCTGGCCAGGCATTTCCCATGTACTTTGTTTTGTTGACTGTCAGGAAGGCTGCACCATCTCTGGCATTCCTTTTCGTTTCTCATGTGTCCCAGCGTCATTCCTGCCTTCTGGTCCTCCAGCCCGTCATCTAAGTCATGAGTGGGAACAACTTGCAGAGCAGCTCTTCCTGGGTCAAACAGGTCTTCTGTAGGCATTGTGAGGTCTCCTGACAGCTATGGTGGGTCAGGCTTTGCTAACTGAAAGATGAATAGGACAAGAGGCCTCTTTCCTTACAGTGTAGTGAGGGAGAAAGATCAGCCAACCTGTTAAAAGAGTTGGATATATGCATGTGCAGTTAGTAGAAGGCCTTTTTTTGTTATTCAGCAGTGAACTTCCACAAAGCAGTAAACATGTCCAACAAATGTGATTCAGATCTCTTGCGCTGTTACAGGAATCAGGAAATAAACTCGAACTCTACTCACTAAAGAGGGAGCAGAGTCCCAGCTATGGGACAGTGGGTTCTGAGGTAAAATCAGTGTGGACTCCAGGAGCACAGTGGAGGGTTCTTTTTGTTTTTTTGTTTGTTTGTTTGTTTTTATTTTTTTAGTTACATTAGCTTATTTTGTACATATTTTTGTGCATTTGTCCATCTCAAATGGGTTTCCCATCACCAAATCACCCGTGTGCCATCACCATAGTCCAGTGCATTTCCTGGAGGGGTTTTTATGCTATATTTAAATCGGGGAGGAAATCTCCATTGAAAAGGAGCCTTCCTGAGAAGGACTTGATGTTAATGAGCATTTCAGAACCTTATCCTAGAAGCCTGTGACTGGTATATAAAGGTCTCTTGTACCCACAAGCCACAAAGTGTTAAACATACATGGTTTAAGGAGTATAGATGCTTGTTCATATGTTAAAAATGTTAAAATTAAATGTTTAAACTACCAGTGCATTTTTTTTTTCATTGCAGGCATTGTGCAATGTGATTTACTTGTATCTCATGGAAGTCTTGGACATTACTAGTAATTTGAATCCCCATTTCATAGGTGGGGAAATTAAGGCTCAGAAAGATTAAATCAATTTCCTTGGGTCACACATGTACAGCTGTTAATGTCATATCCAGAACTGAAATTCAGACCTGTTATCTTGCAAACCCTGTGCCTAGTGAATAGGTACTGACTCCCAAACCCAAGACCGAGAAGTGAAGAGGTGTGCGTGGTCTTCACCGTACACTAGAGAAGCAATGCCAGGGACACACCCTCCCTCACCTGAGTTACTCTTAGGGACACAGGTTGTGCACCCTCGGCCTCGTTGTGGCCCTCTGCCACTCACAGCCTGTCATTATTTTAGCTCAGTACTGTCTTCTTGTGCCCTGGATGCTTGCTTATTGGTTCCTGTCTTCCCAGGAGACGAGCCCACCACTCCCAGATGTGCTGAGCGCCACAGAGCCCCTGAGCACCGCCCAGCGGGAGATCCAGCGCCAGTCCACGCTGCAGTTGCTGCGCAAGGTCTTGCAGATTCCAGAGAATGAGTCAGAGCTGGCCGAGGTCTTCGCCTTGATTCATGAACTCAACAGCTCTCGACTCATCCTGTCCAACGTGAGTGAGGAGACAGTCACCATCGAGCAAACCTCTTGGTCGAATTATTATGAGTCTCCGTCCACGCAGTGCCTTCTCTGTAGCAGCCCATTATTCAAAGGGGGACAAAAGTAAGCACCCCATTCAGATTTATCCTGTCCCCAACTGCATTTTTAATGTTTCCTTTTCCTTTCCAACTGCCAAAAATACAATGATGATGGTGATGATGATGATGATAGTAACAGTGATTGTCCTTTATTTCTGTTGTCACCAAGTTAGGATTTAGTTTGCATCCTGAGTTCAGTGGGAATGGTTACCTTTGGTGATATATTGAGTTATGTGAACTTCAAGAGTGCTTCACAGACCAAAGTCCAACAAAGTGGGGATGCCCGCTCAGACATGTTGAGAACCCAGGCTCCAGCGCCTTCATCTGTCCACTCCACAAAAGTCTGGAGGATTTGGCCATCAATCACTGAGCCCTGGAACTGCAGCCAGGGGTTCACAGTCTCTCTGTTTGCTTACTGGTGATGTTTTTGGTACTAGCTCCCTGGCGGGACCTCAGGAGTGCTGGCTGCTGACAGCCAGCCGGCTGCAGGTGGTGACCGCCCAGGTGAAGATGTGTCTGAATCCCCAGTGTCTGGCCCTGCACAGCTTCATGGACATTTATACAGGTGAGCGCCAGAGGGCCCCGGAGCAGACTGGAGAAGAGCCTCTGTGTTCAGACCTCTCCTTGGGTCACTGGACCTTCCCAGGTGGGCTTCTGGGGAAGCAGATTTTTCTTCCTCCAGAATGCCTCAGACATTTACTTCTCAAATGTTAGGACTCTCTTCTTTGGGCCTTAAAGTACATGTAAAGATAACAGCTCTTTATTGTGGGAAAACTAGAAAATGCAGACAAGTATAAAGAGGAAGCTAAAAACCAGTGGTAATTTTACTGCCATGAGATCAGCACTAACACTCTCCAGTCTGCCACGTTTACTTGTCCGTGCAGTGCATAAGAATCCAGAGGTTCATAGGGTTATAGTTCTTCAAACAAGGGCAGGTTGTTTGGGAATGTACTTCTCAAATTGAGCAGGATTACGGGCATCTCCCTATGGCAGCAGGTGGACGCAGGACCCTTCCTAAGGAGTGGGTGTGCTGTTTCAGAGCCCTCTTTATAACCGCATCTCTGTGTGCAGCTTGAATTATTTCCTTTGAGCAAATGCTCAAAAGTGGAATTGTTGCATTTATCGTTTTCTCCCCATTCCTTCATCAAGAATAAGTGGGGAGAAATGCTTACTGAACATCTCTCATGTACTAGCCGTGGTGAGAATTTGAATCTTTAGTTCTGCCCTTTGTCTTCAGAACCTATGGTGCCTTACTTTGAAGTCACGTCTTTTCATATCTTGTACAGCTGGTTGACTTTGTTCTACCTGATGTTCTTGCCAACAGTTAATTAGATTGCCCATTTCCTTGCAGTTTTTCTAGACCGAGTGGTATCAAGGATTTATATTTTTTAAATTTAGATATGATAGAATTTATTCTGTTGCTACATAGCCGAGAGTTTGGACATAGGCACTGAGGTGTGTAACTGCCTTCACAATCATTATGTAGATTGGCTCCACACACCCTCATTCCCCACCCCCAAATATTCTCAAACTCACTAATCACAGGAAACCTTTTGATCTGTTTTTCCATTCCTGTGGTTTCATCTTTCCAGAATGTCATGCAAATGCAATCTTAGTATGTAGCATTTTCAGTCTGTCTTTTTTCACTAAGCATTAGTGCCTTTGAGTTATCTATATTATTGCCTGCATCAGTAGTTTTGTTCCTTTTTATTGCTGAATAATTTGTGTTAGTACCACCATTTGCTTACTCTGTTCACTCACCAAAGAACATTGATTTTTGGCAGCTAGGGATAGAGCTGCTATAAACACTCCTATAAAAGCTTTTGTGTAACCATAAATCATCATTTCTCTTGGTTAAATATGTAGGGTTCAAGTTGCTGCCATGTGATGAGTATATGGTTACTTTTATAATAAACTGTTGAACCATTTAGCTATATATCTACTCCTGCTTTCCTCTGACAGGGCGAGTCCCACATTGCTCTGCTGGGCAGCACTTTTTTTCCGATTGTGGTAAAAACGCATTTTCCTAGGTGTATATAATATAATCTTATTGTGGTTTTGATTTATATTTCCCCAATGCTGCACATCTTTTCATGGATTTGCTTTCCATCTGTAGGATGAAATGTTCACATCTTTGGCTCATTGAATTTGGTTTTCTTTTCTGATAATTTTTGAGAAATTTTGTAAAAATGTATTGTGGAGATAAGCCCTTTGTCAAATAAGTGATTTGCAAATATTTTCTTATCACTTGTATCTTTTCATTCTCTTAACAAAATTTTTCACAAAGCAAATGTTCTCAATTAAAAACCAAATCACTGTTTTTTTTCTTCTAGGGATTGTATTTTTCATGTTGTTCTAAGATCTCTTTACTTAAGGAAAGAGATCATAGTCTTCCTGTGTTTCTTTTTAGCAAATTATAATTTCACAGTTTATGTTTAGGTCTCTGATCCATTTTGAATTTCTGTATTTCTGTATGCAGGGTAAAGCCCAGGTTGAATTCATTTACTTTGCATGTCTGTTACTGCTTGCTGTAACCTTTTTTTGAAAAGTAGCCCTTTCTCCATTGAATTGCTGTTGTTCTTTGTGGAAAATCAATTGGTCATACATGTTTGGGTGTATTTCTGCACTCCGTCGTCTTCTGTTATTTATTTGCCCGTTTGCAATGTCACATTGTCCTTGTTTACTGTGACTTTATATATTCAGTCATATAATTAGGTAGTGTGACTCCTCCGGCCTGGTCGTTCCAGACTTCTTCTGGTTATTTGAGTTGCTTTTGCATGTCCGTATCTATAGATTTTAAAAATCAGCTTGTCAGTATCTGCAGAATATGCTCAGATTTTAAATTTAAATTGCATCAAATCTGTACTCAATTGGGGAAGTTTTTATTTTGACATGCCTCAAAATAATTCCCTTTCAGTCCATGAACATGATCTGTTGAGTTTAGTACATTTTTTTTATTTCCTTGTCAGTGTTTTATAGTGTTCCGCATCTAGATCCCAACCATGTTTCGTTAGGTTTAAACTGCAGTGTTCTACGCTGCTCAGTGCTGAAGGCGTGGTTCAGTTTCTAACTGTTCAGGCTGGCAGGGGTTTTGTCTTGTCTCTGTATTGATTGACCTGCTAGATGTATTTGATGAACTTGTAGATTAGTATTTGATAGGTAAAAAGCAATATAGTTTCTTAATGTGCTGGGTGTTTGTTTTTTATTATTATTATTATTAGAAAGATTTAAATCTTTTGCATTTTTTCTCTTGTGAAATTTCTTTTGGGAACAGTTTCCCTTTGTGGTATTTTGTTGATGTTTGTTTTGTTTGTTGATGAGGTCTGCAGTTCATCAGTTGTCTTTTTTTTTTTT